ATGGCGTGGCAGACCTCTCCTGACCCGCCCGCTGCTCCCCTCAGCAGTGTACTTCGTCGATCTGCCTGTTCTGCTCCCCACTCTGTCTCTGGTGAAGCCTCTCACCGCCCCTGAGCCTCTGGCCTGTACCCCAGTTCTGTATGTACAAATAAATAAATCTTTAAAAAAAAAATAGCCTGCCATAGAAAATGTATCTGTTGCTGATACTTGACCCACTACTCCTGGACTATGTAACCTCCCCCCCCCCTTTTTCTTTTTTTTTGTTCTACAAGATAAAAAGAATAAATGAAAGGCTAAATGAAATACCCTGTAATTAAAAAGATAGAACAAGGCCAAAAAAAAAAAGATAGTGGAAGTGACTTAACCAGATCACTAAATCAGGGATGGGAAGGAAGAATGTAAGAATATTAACTATACTAGGTGGGATTTAAATTTTCCTAGGTCAGATGTAACTGATCTATTGTGGGTGCTTAGTACAGGGCTGGCACATAGTAGATAGTAAAAATTTGTTGAATGAATAAGACAATAATTGACACTGTGAATCTTTGGTTTTAATTTCAGACATTTTGAGTTTATGTTAGCAGACATGACTCAAAATATAAATTTGGGAGATAGTCACATAGAAGTTTTAAAAGCCTTGTCAGTGCATGTCTTTGTGCAAGTGCACAGAAATTTATAAATGTGAGTACAACATGAGAGATTCCATATTAGTTATTAAACATTACTTATATTTTATACATTTAATATAAAAATTAATATTTAATGTAAAACTTATGCATAGTGAATGGCCTTTTGCTGTTTGGCACTTTTAAAAATTTCATGAAAATGTTGAGATATTCATAATTTTTCTAAAATACTACAGACTTTGGATTGTTGAGTATGTATAAGAGTACATTAATTTAAAAATTTAATATATTCAATATTAGGTTATAAGAATTTATGAGTTTTTATTGATATTATGTAGTATGTTTATCTTCCAAACAAAGCTAAGCTAGTTTATTTCTATTTAAGAAAAGAAATGGAGATTATATAAGTGATAATTCTTTGTACAGGACACATGTTTGATTCCTTCTTTTGAGGTTTTTATTTTGATTTCTCATAGTTAACACCTTAGTTAATATGGTGTCAATATGGCTATCACTTTAGTATCAGGAAAATATGACTGATAGCTAGATGAGACAAAGAAACCAGGTCAGATGTAACTGACTTGGCACATTGTTCACAATATTTCCAGTGAAAAAAATTAAAAAGGGAACACAAAAGAGGAAATAGAAAATGAAACAGTGGAGAATGTTTCTGGAGTGCTATAGAATAGCACAGTATGTATTTTTAAGGATGTATCAATTTTTCGAGGGTTTTTTGAAAAAGTTCAGATAAAAACGTGATGTAAAATTTAAATTTCATCCAGTTACTAACACTGTTATTTGGGGGTTATGACTCCTTTAAAAGTTTTATGGTTTGAAATGATTCTTGCCCTCCCTCTGCAATTGCCTGTTTATTTTATTGTATATTTAATGCATTGATTAGATAGCAGTGTGCTGACTTTGTTGAGCAAAGGAAAGCAACATAAGTTGGATATTTTATTGGTAGAGATGATAATATTTGTAATATGTTACATATGAGGCTATTGGTGAGCTGGAAGGAAGTAGGCATTTTTCTAGCTTCTGATCTCCTTTAAATGGACTGTGAAACCTATGTGCATGGAAAGTAGATTAGAGCTGATAACCTACTATGGGTTAAAAATTAACAACGTAACGTAAGAAATTGTATTGGTAGTTTTATTGAACATGCATGTTAAATTTGAATGATGCGTTATTTGTACAAGAGATGTGTTGTAGAAATTTTAATTAAGTTATTAAGAAACCTTGTTATTTGAGGCACATTCAAACAGGTACCTCCCTATATTTTCTTAAGAGTTTATTTATGGTTTCTTGTGAGAACTAAAAACAGTGTGTTCATGTTAGAAATCATTTTAAAACATAACTAATAAAGATTTTGTTTTCACCATGTCTTTTTTTTTGTCATATTAATGTTGGTTGAATAATAATTCTTTATGTGATTTGTGAGATTAAATCCAATGGTTTTAGTGGTTATAAGCACTAAAAGTTTTATCTTAGTTTATATATATCAGTAACATTATGACAAAGTTAATTTAATACTCAGATTACAGTATGGAACCTGATGTAAGGATTGTTTTGAATCCTTTGAAATCAGATACTTCTCTTGTAATGCACTTAAGTATTTATTGATCTTATTATGCAAATTCAGAGTTTTATATAAAGTATTGCATTTTCTTAAAGTAAAAGCACAGCTTGAGGGAACTATGACTTTGTAAATTTGTGTATTTGGATGTATTGTTACCAACCCAAACAGGTGTATTAAAGGACTCATAAACAGACAATATTCTGTATGCCTCCTCCCTGCTTTCCCAATTGGTGGCTATTCTGTTATCACAGACATGGAGTAATATTCTATTTATAAAGTTCTCTAGTCAATATTAAGGTAAAGAACATAGTTTCTTATTTGAAGAAACAAAAAAATGCCTCTGATTTCACTGAGAGTTGTCTTGATTTAATTGAAATTATGATTCAGGTTTTAATCATTTTGAAGACTATCATTTTTCCTCTTTATAAAAATTTTAATTCACTTTTTGAAATTTAATTTGGTGAGCTTTCTTTTTGAAAATGTAATTTATTTTTATTACATGTCAGAGATTCTATTTAGTATGCTTTATCAATGTGTTTTGCTAATCATCTTTAATGTAATTTTCTTCAAGAAAGAAACTTTGGAATTCAATATCTATCTCTTGAACTCCTGTTGTTTCCAAATGACTGCTAATCATTGGCGGTTTATTAGTTTCCAGATACCATTATTTAATTTTGGTAGATATATCTGTAATATTCCAGGAGTAGAAAAAGTTCACTTGGACATTTGCATCTCTGATAGCTGTTCCCATCATATTTATTTTCATAGTACTGTCTGGCTGTATTATTGGTACTTTCTTATATTTTTCTGCTATTTTTTTCTATTTAAAGATTTGCTATTTCAGAAATGTTCTATTCATTTACCCTCTTAAAATATGGACGAACTGTATCTTACTGCCATTTTATTCTTGTAAATTATTTTAATATAAAATTGCAATCTAAACTGAAATACTTTCTAATGTTTGATAAGATCTTTTAGACTAAATTCTTTTTAACTGCAAATTAGTCACTAATGGTGAAGCAACATAGAAAATATTGACACTATACAAGCTTTTTTCTTGTGGCTCCAGATGAATTTCATCAATATTTGTTGTATTTCTTTGAAGAATGTCATTGAGATTTTTATTGGAATAAGCATTGCTTTTGATAGGATGATCATTTTGACAATGTTAATTCTTCTAACACATGAGCAAGGGATGTCTTTCAATTTCTTTTGTCTTTTATTAACAGTTATAATTTCATTTGTATAGCCCTTCACTTCTTGTGTTAGGTTTATTCCCAAGTATTTGATTTTATTTTGTTTCAGTTATAAAAGGGGTAGTTTTCTTGATTTGTTTTTCTTCAGATTCTGTTTAGGAAGGCTACTGATTTTTGTGTGTTAATTTGTATCCTGCTAAACTGGTAGATTGTTTTGATTAGTTTTTCTATGGAGCTTTTAGGTCCTGTATGTATATTACCATATTATTTTCAAAAAGTGATAATTTTACTTTTGACCCCATTTGTATTCCTTGCATGTCTTTCTCTTGTTTTATTGCTCTGGCTAGGACTTCCAGTATTATATTGAAAGCAATGACAAGAGTGGACATTCTTGTCTTGTTTCTGATCTTAAAGCAAAGGCTTTTAGCTTTTCACTATTAAGAATATTATTGGGGGCCCCTCCCTGGTGGCGCAGCAGGTTAAAGCACTGCACTAAAAAGCTTAAGCCACTTCCGCATGAGTTTGATTCCCGCCTGCCCCAGAGGTGATCCACATGGCGTGGCAGACCTCTCCTGACTCGCCCGCTGCTCCCCTCAGCAGTGTACTTCGTCCATCTGCCTGTTCTGCTCCCCACTCTGTCTCTGGTGAATCCTCTCACCCTCCGCATCTCCGGCCTGTAACCCAGTTTTGTATGCATACATAAATAAATCTTTAAAAAAAAAAGAATAATATTGGGTGTGGGTTTGTTGTTTATGGCTTCTGTCATGTTAAGGTATGTTCATTCTATCCCAAGTATTTCAGGGGCCTTTGTCATAAGTGGATTTTGAACTTAATTGAACTTAATGCCTCTCAGCATCCATTGATATGATCATATGGTTTTATTTTTCTTTCTGTTACTATATTGTAGTACATTAATTGATTTTAAGATTTGAACCATCCTCGTGCCCCTGGTATAAATCCGACTTGATTATTGTGTATTAGTCTTTTTGATGCATTGTTGGATTCTCTTGGTGAGGTTTTTTTTTTTTTCTCCAAAAGATTTGTTTTATAATGACTTTATGGACCTCCAGTGAATAAGTATTTGTATCCAAAGTGGAAATAATCTGGGTTTGGCCTGTACAATAATATGACTGTGCTAATACTATTGAACTGTAAACTTTAAAAGTGGTTAGAATGGTACATTTTAGGTTGTGTATATATATATATATATGTAAAATATATATACATATATAATTAAAACAATTGCTATCCAGTGTTTTTTTTTTTTTAATGTAGTTTGAGTGTATTCTTTTAAGACTGTTGTTCTGTTGCTACCACTATTTATTTTTAGTAATCTCAGGTGACTTTGCAGTCTTTATCAAATGCCCCAAATTTTTTAAATTGTTCAAGTCAGCTCTTGTCTAAAAATTGATTAAACAATATACTGAATCATATAAAACTATATTTCAGTTTTAGTTTATTAAAGTTAATTGAAGTACTTGACTCAATTAGGGAGCTATTGTTTGGATCTTGAGAAAGAAGTAATTGATTTAGTTCCAAATGCTTTCCATGTAAAGATTACTTATGATTTCACATATATCTTTTCTTTTTTTCTAATAGGCTTTCAAGGATATGCTGTATTCAGCTCAGGACCAGGCACCTTCTGTGGAAGGTAAGATGCATTAATCTCTTAAGTTTAGTCAAATAAAACCTAGTTTTAAGGAATAATATTTTTTTTAAAGATTTATTTATTTATTCATACAGAACTGGGGTACAGGCCAGAGGCTCAGGGGCGGTGAGAGGCTTCACCAGAGACAGAGTGGGGAGAAGAACAGGCAGATCGACGAAGTACACCGCTGAGGGAAGCAGCGGGCAGGCCAGGAGAGGTCTGGCTCGCCATGTGGTCTCCTCCGGGGCAGGCGGCAGGCGGGAATCGAACTCATGCGGAAGTGGCTTCAGATTCTCAGTGCTGTGCTTTAACCCGCTGCGCCACCAGGGAGGGCCCAAAGGAATAATATTTTTAACTGAAGGGTATGGAACTTATGTAGATTTTTTCTGCTTCTGATTATTTTAAATTAAATTATTGTTTAGCTCACATCACTCCATAAGTCTTTTCATGTCCTTAAATCACCTTAGCACTCTGAGTCAAAGATACTAATTTACAGTTAATTCTTAATCTGTACTATGCTCCCCTCAGGGTATTTTTATATTAATCTATCATCCATCCATCCATCTGCCCACTAACCCTCTCACCAATCATTTGGTAAATCCTTAGTACCTAATTAGTTAGGGCAACACAATTTCCTTTTTCTGTTTATGATATATAATATGATATGTCTTTAGTCTGGGACTATTTAAAAAAAATGGGACATGCTTTCTCTGTACCTGCATGCACTTGTGCTCTCAGCATGTGAACACATTATAAAAGCATGTGTATGTATGCATATGTGGTTTGGCAGTCATACAATGACTGATGGTTGTTATTCCTCTAATTACCTTCATTGATACTTCTTTTCTGTTACCTCAGTTCTTACTCAGTTTATATAATCTTGCTAGATATTGAAAATTTTAAGTTAAAATTATAGTTCACAGGATCTCCCTGGTGGTACAATAAGTTAAAGCACCATACTAGGAAGCTCTCAGAAGCCACTGCAGCATGAGTTTGATCCCTGCCCAGGGAGCTGACCCACATGACGTGGCAGATCCATCCGCTGTTCTCTTCAGCAGTGTAGTTCAATAGCTCTGTCTGTTCTGTTCCCCACCTGTCTCTGGTGAATCCTCTCACTGGCCTGTACACCAGTTCGGTAAGCATAAATAAATCGTAAAAATAAAATTATAGTTCTCATGTCAGCAAATAGGTACAAATTTAAGTATTTTTTTTTTTTGAGGGAGTATTCCTTTTGAGGCTGGATATTCTTTTAAATTTTATAGTAAAACTTTTCAGGAGCAATTTATGTGAAAAAGTATTATGTCAAGAATAGTTTGTATAGTCTATACAGATTAATATCTTTATGAGTCACCAACCTGGAATTCTGTAAAATCATTCCAATGACAAGCTTTTAGAAGCCTGTGTTTATAACATTAAGCAGATGCTAATTTGTTTAATAAATCTTGAACTATAATTAAAAATCTCATTGTTTCTAATCACACAGAATATGCATCTTTACCTCTGATAATTCTAGATTCAAAATGTGTTTCCTTCAACATTTCAAAATATTTTTCCATGCTATTTTAAATTAGAGCTTTGGCACTTTGGTATTAGTTTTATATGAACAATAATTTATTCAATTCTCTGATATTTAACCCAAGACACTTAAGACTTTATCAGAATGTTTAATTCCTTATTGGATATTTTATTTTATGTGTCTCAGAATACACTAAGAATGAGCAGTATTTCATTATACACAGTTTAACCCAAAAAAATGACAATTTTATAAGACTGCCTCTTATAATCCCAAGGTGTAATATAAGAACTTATTACTGTGATCTACAGGGCTCTAATTAATGTTCATGATCTCATCTTCTGTGATTTTCCCTCATATTTAATAGACTCCTCCAGTTATAGTGCCTCTTTATGTACCTCACTTAGGAGTGCTTACTCTTACAGTAGGGTTTTTAGCTCATGTCTTGTGGTGAGAATCATTAAATCTTTCTGCGACTGTCCAACTATTAACATGACAACACCAATGTGAATTGGGTTACCTGACTTTGGGTCCTCACCCATGCACTTAAAGGGACTTATAATAAGATCCAACTGCAGGCATACACAAAAAGGTTAATAAGGTGTTTTTTTGTTTGTTTGTTTGTTTGTTTTTTTAAGAAGAGAAAAGGAAAATGAATAACTCAGGGGAAAAGAGAGAGAGAGAAGTTGGTTAATGTGTCCTACAAGTCCCACTGACCTGGAACCCCAATAGCATGCGGAAAACTGACGAAAATCCTAGAGACAAGCCATGAACCAATAAACCCCAAAAGGCCCACATGTCAGGTTTTATATTTAACATGGCTGCACCCTTGGGTTCTAGCAATGCTTCCTTTGGTGATGATGAGATTTGTAGTTCCCATGTCTAGAGTGGGGATGGACTCCACAAAACCTGTATCCATAGAGTTGTTCAGGATATCCTTTTCCCTTAATCTATAAGAAGCTTTCTGAATAACTAATGTAATATAGCTACTTAGCACTATATTTTACATCACCATATTTTATTTATTTATTTCTATAATGTTGCTCACAATCTGCATTCTTGTGTTTTTCATTAATTTATGATTTCTCTTGATACCAAAATAAGTCCTCTGAGACCAAAGATGTTTTTCTTGAATATTTTATGCCTAACATCTAAAATACATACTTTACATATTTACTGAGCATATTATTGAGAACTAATAAAAACAATACCTTTCCCTCAATTTTCCTTGAGATGAAGTACTATTATGAAAAAGAAAAAATGTAAATTGACCTGGCTTACTTGTTTTTTGATTTTTTTTCCTATGTGTTTTTGAACATTAATTTCTCATGGCCTGTGGATGCAGAATTTTGGAATGAATTAATACAGTGAAGGACATAAATCAGTGAATGCCACACATTAATCACTGTGTTTCTGCCCTTTCTTCTTTGGCTCCCCATGTCCTATCAGCCTCCCCCAATCTTGTGAAAAGGTTTTGTTGGGTTGTTTTTTTCCTTAGGTTCCCTCTGTTTATTCTACTTGGTTAGCAGATGTGCTGTAGTCTCCCTAAGCTCCTTAGAATTCAGCTCTTAGAGGCACTGAAGATGAAAGTATGGTTGTAAATTATTCATTTTGATTATATGCTTGAGTGGGCAAAGTCCACTTCAGACATCTTCTTCCACCTCACCTCTGCCCCCTGGTCTTTGTTGTTTAAACAGATGTGAACTTGCTTTTTAGTTTTGGAGGAGGAATATTAATTATAGTTCTAAAAGTCATGAAATAGTTCTTGTATGTATAGGATCACTGTCAAGTTTATCCATTTATGACAAGTTACTTTTTCCATGTTAATCAGGGTTTTATGTCTCTGCTTTCCCAGTTTTTTTATTTTTGCTATCTTGTCTCAATATTGCTAAAAAAAAAATACTTTTCTGATCTGGAAATAAAAACATTTTATATTTAGACTAGGGAGACCAATCTATCTAATTTGCTGCATTTTCAGTTGGGCAATGTCAGGAGAATAAATGTTCTACATTCTACTTTTCAACACTTGTCCATATTTTTTTCTTTAGTCATTCATTGTAGTATTTCAAAAATTGAAGTAAGTTACTGTTGCATGAGAAGACCATACCAGGTACTTGTAGTGATTTACTCCAAAAACTGAAACTCTAGATTTATTTGTAAGCACTGCAGCCATAAGGAGATTTACATATGGTTAAGAGTGAAAATTGAGATATGAATCAAGCCAACAGGTAATTGGCATTTCTTTTAGAATGATAGCATATTTTTATCTTTCATTATTTCTTTTAATAAGAATAAAAAGATCTGATTAGTACTGAAAGCTATGTGATGAAATTTTTCCTGAAGGACATACTTATTTCATGTTTACATTGGAAAAGGATCCATATACATTTGGATGAATCACAATTTCTAGATAACAAATATTATAATATTCAAAAAATAAGCGTGTGTACTCTTTAAAGATAACTACTAATCTCTAATAGAAAAGATGTGCTTCTGCATAGTCAGTTACATTATTATTCAAATTGAAAAATACCTATTTCTCTTTCACTGTGAAAGAATTAAGTGTAATTTAATGCTGATTGCTGGCACAGTAAAGTGATGTTATAAATAAATAGTAGAATTATCTTGTAAAAGCAAATAACAAATTTGAGTAGCAGAAGGTAAGAGCTGAAAGAAATGAAGGAATACTTTTGAACACAGGCTTATAGTCCAGCAGAGTGATATTGAAGAGTGTTTTTATTGAATAAAACTTTCTTTTGCTTATGAAAATCAGTAATGTATAAAGTCACTATCAATTACCACACTATTTCTCTTTTGTCAGTAAGTTTGAAACAGTCATGGAGAGAGAAGTGGTAGTTATAAAACATTAAATCAAAAAACAAAAACTTCTGGGAATTACTAGCGTAGCTCTATACTACAGAGGAGAAGACACATCAACCAAGTGAATGAATATAGCAAACCAGTACACTAGAACAATTGTTATAACTTAAAGTTGGCAGAGTTTAAAGTAGGGGAACTTCTTCTTTATGTTCTTTTTATTTTCTTAATATAGAGCTTTCTTAGTTATTCAGTGAAAGAAGCAAAAAAGTTATGATGAGAGATGAATTTCCAGTTCTAGGTGTACATCATTGAACAAATGAAACAAAAGTTTCCACTGCCTTCACAGTGGAAGACATGCTTTAATAATAATTAGTCTAAGCAATAACTTCTAAAATTACTTGAGACAATATGAGAAAGGATTAGTCAGTAATTGAAGGAATAAGTATACTCTCATATTAGTTTCTTGTGCTATTGTAACAATTTACTACAACTTTGGTGGTTTAAAATAAGATAAATTTATACTTTTAAAATTTTAGAGGTCAGTCTGATATCAAGGTGGTGTCAGGCTGCACTCCTGGAATCGGTGGGGGAGGGGGAATCCAAGATTTGTCTCTTCTAGCTTTTGAGGTGCTGACTCTGCCACTTCTCTGACTTCTGTCTCTTCATTTTG